TCTGAGTGCACCGGCCAGGTAGGTTTGTCCTGCTGCCGTTTCCCCACGTTTACAGAAAGTCATCTTAAAAGACCGAGGCTGCTGGGCAGGTGCAGCCTGAGAGAACCCATTGTTAGCATCTCTTCCCAACTCTTGGCTTCAGTGACATCAGCAGTCAGCAGCATAACTGGGCGTGGTGGAAGTACTCACTTCCACAGTGGAAAGGAGCACACACTATACACCAGTACTACAATCCCGTGCTGTCACCCACTGTTATCCATTTACCGGGATACAACAGGGTGGGCCCTTTTGTATTTCAAAAAGAAAGCAGGCCCCCTTTGCTAATGCTGCTGTGATCCCAGGGATATAGTCATTGCCGCCATAACCCCTGATGTGGGCACTGCATCTCGGGTGTGCCCTGACCGGTCAGAGTGGCAGGCAGTGTGGGATTCCACGCGAGGTGAGGCACACCCCAGAGCAGACACCGACAGGGTCTGGTCAGCAGCTGTGTTTGCTTCCTGGCAGCTGGGTGCCCAGTGTGGAATTCCCGTCTGCAGACTTCTAGGGTTTGCCAAACCCTATTTGCCAGTCTGTCTTTTCCTGGTCTCTCATCTCTAAAGACGCTTTAAATATCTACCATACAAGTATACTGGGCAAACAGAACAGAGGGAACACTCTCAGGAGCCCTTCTGTGTGCATCCATTACTATGGGACAGGCCCACAGTCCACCAACTTGCAAAAAAACCCACCTCCTCCAAAGCCAGAGATGCTTAAACAGGGCTGGAGAAGGACACCTCAAGGGATTCCTGCCAGCAGCTCTGTTATCATTTGGCCTAATTATCTTCTTAATTAAAAGAGGGTAAATTGCCTGATTGTACTCATTGGCTAATGGAACAAAAAAGTATCTTTGCATTCTTGGAGAAAACAGCATGTTTCTCAGGAAAAAAATCAACACAGATCAGATTTCCAGTCTTGAGGCAGAAGAATTCAAAGAAAAAAGAATCTTTTCAGAACTCCCTGTGCATCTTAGATTTAAAGAGGCCTACATTTTATAACTAAGGCCTTGTTCTGTAGGGACCTAGGAAGCTTCCTCAAGATAGACGGTTCTATTCCTTGTAAACAGCGGGGCCTGTACGTTCGCCCTGGCAGTAAAACAAAGAACCATGGTGATGCATAGATAACTTAAAACAAACCAACTAGAAGCCCACCCTTAACCATTGCCTTCCACTTTCCAACCCTGATCAAAATTTTAATACGGGCTTTCAGTACGGAGTAAGGAAGAGCATGGTAATGATTCAATATTAGACAAAGGAGAAAAGCAACGGGATAACCTACCATCAGAAATTGTTCTGTACACATCAGCGAACCACTATTGTTCCTGAGCATCAAGTTCCACACCCACTTTTTGCTGTGGTTTAACTGGTTTCTAAAAGGTCAGCACTCAGGCTCACAAACTAAGAAAAATGGGAGGAGCAGGGAAGATGAAGAGCCAGACAGAGAAGTTCCAGACCAACTACTTTTTTATTGTTTCCAAAGGAATGGGACAGAAGAAATCCGACTAGGCAGGCTTGCTGTATGAGTCAAAGAGGTCCAGTTAAAATATCTGGGCTTGGATCAGTGTTCAGAGAGTTTGTGTTTTTTCTATAGACAGAGGGTCTTCAAGATATGATGCAGATGGACCCAGCCCCTAGAATGGTCAAGCCAGGGTCAGACCACCCTGCCTCTCAGCAGAGAGGTTGTGGGAACGGATCACTCTAGACCTGTTCTAAATGACAGTCCCCAGTCACACCATTCCCTTAATAGTAGGACCCAGAGAGAAGGGAACATCATCTATTGGGAATAGTCTCTAAAACATGCAGGAATGAGATAGGAGAACCTTAACCCAAAAGCTTTTCATTAAAATGACACTTTCTTCTCTAAAGTATTTGTATTCTTTAAGTGTAAAGTGTTCTGAAAACCACAAAATTCCCTAAGCCAGGGCTGGGATGTCAATCAGAAAGACCTGATCCCAAGGAGCAGGAACAGGTTTTGTTTTGGTTAGGGTTTTAAGTCCCACCACAGGGACTGACTCTCTAGAAACACATTTGCACCATTAACACCAACTTCACAAAACTGCTAGTAAAAAAGAAAAGCCAACTTTTAGTTGATCTCAAAAGACTAGATGAGTGCTAAGGCACAGACATGAAGGACACCTCACCAGGTCCTTCTGCCCGTGTGGCGTGCACCCCTTCACGACTGCTGGGTGGGAAAGCTCTAGCCAAGCCTTGCTGCTTTGGGCCGATGTTTCCCTCCTCATCAGGGGCCTGCCTCAGGGCGGATGGAGATGGCAGCTGTAGTAAGTCCTTACTGAGCAGCTATATACATTTTTTTTTTTTTAAATTTTTTCTTTATTGATTTTATTTTTATTTTTCTTTATTGATTTTAGAGAGAAACATCGATGAGAGAGAACATCAATTGGCCGCCTCCTGCACGCCCCCTACTGGGGATCGGGCCCACAACCTGGGCACGTGCCCTGACCAGGTATCAAACCGGCGACCTCTTGGTGCCTGGGTTGACATTCAACCACTGAGCCACACCAGCCGGGCATTTATTTTCACAGTTGCTTGCAATCTAAATCAGGGCAAGTTTTGTTTTGTTTTTTAAACTAATTTGATCAATACTATCAATACAAATATTCCTAGTAACAAAGGCTAATATATCTGATTACATACAGAAGGGAAGAGACGTTTTTGGTTGGTTTACACACTACTGAACCCATCTACTTTGGAAAGCACATGTGCAGTATGAAGTCTTTTAAGGAAGAAAAGATTTATTCCAATACTGCTCATAATAAAAAGCATTCTGGGAGGAGCTTGGGCAACTTCAAAAGAAGCAAAACTCAAGAATGAAGAATACTGTAGTACAAAATTATGGCCAAAAATACTGTATTTTTAACCAGCAAGATCATTGGGGCATTATTATACAACATTAGGTGTTTTTTGCAAAACTAGTTCCCATCCCCAAACAATAGACAATACATGCATTTTAATGACATTTTAAGAACAGTAAATATGATTCTTTAAATACTGCAAGTTAAAAATGTTTTCTGACAAAACTCCCTAAATACACAGGTCTAGTAAGGGTTTCCAACGTGATGATGGGTGAGGGATCCAGCAAGAAGTTGCGTTTAGAAAGTTCTTTGAGGAAAAGAAATCCACCACCGTGTTTCCATCAAAGTAACCTGGACAGTTACATAGCCATTTTCTCTTTTTTCCCACACTTAAAAATATTCTACTGAATCTTTCTCCCTGTTATTTTTCTCTGCCTACCACAGCTCATATGAAAATCAGAATTCCTTTATCCATGTCAGATCCAATTTTGCCCAAGAGGTGTTTGAATACGACGTGAACGTCATGTACTACCAGGCTGGGGTGCCGTGGGGGAGTGGGAGCACGTGACGGGTACGGGCGGCGAGAAGGAAATGGCTATCTGAGCACCTGCTACGTGCTAGGTGTGTGCTTACTCCGAACAGACGACTCTGGAGGCAAGAGTGTCACTGCAAGGGCACTAATAACTGGGAAGAAGGCAGGGAATGGATCTTGATTCTGTGAGAAAAACAAATGACAAGTTGAGACTCTGTACTAAGTAGCTACTGAACAGCAGATGTCTGGCTCCGAAAATCTCTAGCTAACCACATACAGCTAGGCCGGTTCTTGTCCTAATTTCCTGGGACCAAAATGAAATCCCAAAGACATATTTACCGGGACAGATCTATTAAGGCTACATATGCTGGCAATATGTCGAGATAATCAGACAAGATGACTCATTTTAATTGTTGTGTTATGTTTCTAACCAAAGAGATATCTTTGGAAGAAAATGCTAATGGAGATATACCAAGCACACCTTATTTGTATCCATGGAGATGTTGTCCATTACTAATTAAGTGGTTTTACACCCTTATTTACTTTTAAGAAGAGCAGCAATATACATGACAATATTTGGGTACACTTTATTTTTATATGGGTTAACATTCTGCTAGATTTCATTTCATTCATTCTTTTTTGAGAAACTGAAAACAAAGAGAAATTGAAGGTAATTTGAAGGTTATTTTCAACCAATATCTGAGTCTTGCAGTATTTCATTATGCAGCCCTTTCTTCCCATTATTTTTTATTTTTTTGCAAATAAGTCATTTTGACCCATATCCAGCATAAATAGCATTTCACCGATTCCTAACTTAAGACAACTGAAAATGTACAATCATGTGGCAGTATAAATTTTAAGATTACAGTTCGTACACCTTGACAATCAAGATAGTCTGAAGTACAAAAAAGTAAATTGTCCTTTAGCTGAATTACCTTTTTAAATATTAGACCTGCTAGTTAATCTACAAAAAAAAAAATACAAGTTTCCGGTGTTCTTCAAATACCTTTTGTAGATGTCATTTGTTAGTAAACAACATATGCAGGTTCCTAGGACCGCCCCCCCCCCCCCCCCCCGCCGCCCCCCAGTCTATTCATGACATTCAACAGAGCTCTTTACATGGAAATATTTAAAAAAACAAAACAAAACAAAACAAAAAACAAACTTTGAGGGGATGTGTTTACTTTTGAACGGGCGTGGTATTCCCTTTGTTTCAGATATGAGGCACAAACTTCTGAATTTAAGCTCTGTAAGGCATAGTACAAACCTCCAATTTACACCTAAGGAATTCTCTGTGGGGTGAACTGCCGCGTCACACAAAAAAGGGAGAAAATCATCTGTAAACTGGTACACGGCGACGTGTTACGTGAGTCGTGAAATGGCTGCTTGCCTTGGTATGCTGAAGAAAGGTTTTTTGGGTTTTTGTTTCTGAATAAGACATGCCCAAGTCACCAAAAAACTTGCCACAGGCCTCCGTCACCTAGAGCTTCAACAGGAGCCCAGTGGCACACACTGGTAACGCTTGCAATCACAATATAATATAAAGCATAAGTAAACTTTGTTTTTATACAAAACTGAAAAGACTCCCTGCCCGCCCCAGCCCCTTCCATAAAACCCCGAACAAAGAAACAAAAAAGATAATCCTTTAGCTTCGACTGACTAGTGTGGATACAATTAGGTCTCTAGGCCTCACTGTAGCTAGGGTGATCAATTTTTTCCTTTCTCAAGAGAAGGGATCTTGTCATGCGCCCTAAGAGGAACAGTGAGGCCACAAACCCGGTTCTGCATAGCGATTCCATCCCAATTTCGTCAAGACACATGTAACACTCTTTCCCTGTTTTGCTCAGCTTCTTCCGAGCTTTGAGATCAGGTTTAATCGACTACAATCTACGATAGCTCTATTAAATAGAATATCTTGATTCCCTACAACTGTAACACTTATGATCTCGTGATGAGGTTTTTCTCTATACACACTGTAGGCCTTCAAATGTTGTTTACTTTTTTTTTTTTCTTTTTCTTTTTTTTTTTTTCTTTTTGCTGCACCAAATTTAAGAACGCCCTTTCAGGCAAGCAGTGGTCTCTAGCTGTTAAAACATTTCCTTAGTGGATCACAATAGCTTCTAAAACTGCCTTTCTAATAAAGGCCATCAGAGAGGTAATACTAAACTGTGCGTTTGCCAAAGGAGAATATGAATTGTATAAAAGCTCATATTCCAATCCTAGGTAAATGGCAAAAGGTCTACAAAGTTGGTTTCCATGTTTGTATAAAAGCTCCGACTGATTTTAGGTATTTTGCTATGAAATTACCTTTTCTTATAATTAGTATACCTCTACTCAGGAATGTGCAAATGATTTTATACAGCACGATGCTAGTACCGCTCTGTACGACAGTAAGGTTTTTTTTTTTTTCTTCTTTTCTAAATGGAAAAAACAAAATATCCCTAGTCAGAAATAAACTGACAAATTTACATTCTCCTCTCTTAAAAAAGTAAATAAAATAACATTATTCAAAATGTGAATTAGCTATAAGACATACAATTACATAGATACATATCAATACAGCACATTCAATCTGCCAAAACAATTAATGATCACAAAGCCAGTATGGATGCTGCAGTATCAAGAGAGATGTATGCACAATGATTAGAGCATTCGTGATTGCACTAGACTTACAGGCAGTCCGTTTCTCAGTTAAATTACAGGTGCTTTCTGAGCAAGGAAAAAAAAGGAACCTGTGCTGTTTGAGGCTGGGAGAATAAAGAATGAGAACATTTCATTACTATTTAGGAACTCTGGTACTCATCAAATACGCCATTAATTTTCTGTTTGCTGTTCCAAGAGAGTGATTTATATGGAAGTTCTGACTCATGCCAAATAGTATTATAGTTAAAATGAGACCAGTCATGGCCTAATTCTAACTTCCCAGCAGGTTTAAAACAATCATGATTTATTTTCTTAAATCATTATTTCAACTCAAGCTGCTTGACAGGAGAGCTCATCGTTCCATGTGCTGTTTTTTGCATTTGTTGAAAAGTGCACATAAAAAACTCCAAACATCTCTCTCAGGAGGTTCAGTGACATACATACATGTTCTACAGAACAATGAGAGGTTCCTTTTGAGTTAAGTTCACAAATCTTCCTTACGTTCAACTTAACCAGTAACCAGTTTAAAAAGGTTCAAAGGCAGTAAACTAGCAGTAGCTTCAGAAATTACAAATTAAAGGTGTCAGAATAATACTACCATTCATTGTTCTTGGCAGACCTATTCAACCTTAAAGAACACAAGTAAAACTGGCTTCCAATGAGGAGACAGAAGCAAATGTCACGTTGCATCGGGGAGGACACTTTTCCACATTTTGGACACTCAACATGGAACATGGAGATAAACAATGTAATTTAAGGTCAAAGAAAAGAATGGACCATGAGAATCAAATTGACAAGTTACCAATTGTTTGGCAATTGGTGTTTCAGGTTCATTCTCAGCCAATCATTTTAGGCTTCACAGTCTTATTCGCTTACATTTTAAGATACCGGCTTTTAGCTTTTAAGTTTTTCTTACTCTGTTTTACAAAAAGCCAGCTTTGGCAACATGGACCCATAATAAATGTCATCTAAAAATTGTGGCCCAAACACTAAGAAAAAAAGGGAGAAAAAAGTCTTAACCAAGAGGGAAAAAAATTAAGAGCAACCTACGAAAAGACCCTGGGTAGCAGCCACTGGGGTAATGTAGTGTCTGTTGGCATATTTTTGGCATGTGTAATTTAAAGAAGAGAGGGTGAAGAAAGGAAGAAGGAAGGGAAGAAGGACAATGGCACATGGCATTTCAAAAGAAAGGACTCCTGTGTGTGTCTGCCCTCCCTGCTACCTCCTGCCCATTCCTCTGAGCAACCACGCTACGGCCGAAGGCAGAAATCCCAAAGAAATGACGCGGTGGACGGGCCTCTGGCCAAAGTGAGGCAAGACAATATACTTATATAAAAAACTCTACGGGTGTATCCAGAGCAATACATTGAAAACCACAGTATTAATACTTATAATCCTTCAGCAAAAACTACAAACTGTTAAATTAAGCTGATGCTGATGGCTTAAACTGAAGGATGTTGTCCCGAACTGTTTCATTCGAGAGAGAAACCTGACCAAGAATGGAACTGGGTAAAGGCCATTGTAACCCAGGAGAAACCAGGAGGGAGGTGGGGGTTAGGGAAAAGGAGATCAGCTTCCTTTGCTCAATAGGAGAGAGAGAGAGAAACAACTCTTATCTTTGTGAGTGCATGACTGAGAATTTAAAATACATGGAGTCACGAGGTTTTGCCTAAACAAAAAAAAAAAAAAAGAGAGAGAGAGAGAGAGGAAATGTGCTGGGACTGTACTTCAGCATCCTGTTTTTCCTCTGAATAGTTAAATAAAATCATAATATTTACTACAAACTCTGTGGACACACTCACAGAGTCCAGGACGGCAATAAATTAGTATTATGCAAATCGTTTTCCACAGAAATACAGTCCCTCTTGTATAGCTTTCATAGCCCACCAAGGAAGGGAAGGGCAGTGTCGAGGAGGCACACTTAGACCAGATTGTACTCCTTCAGGTTCAACTGGAGGATGGTGTCCTTGACGGCGGCAAACACAAAGCGGATGTTCTCGGTGTCTGTGGCGCATGTGAAGTGGGAGTAGATAATTTTGTCACTGTCTGGGTTCAGGTCCACGAACATCTTCAGGATGAATTCTCGAGCTGCCTGGGCATCTCTCTGGGGTCCTGTTGGCCAAGGGAGGAGAGGGACAGTTTCTTAGCTGATGTGTTAATGCGGTCGCTCAATAAATGTTTACTGGGCCATGCCCAGAAAGATGACATCTGTATTGCACCTTTTTAAAATAAGGTACCTGCATTTTTTTTCCCAATTCCAGTTGACATTAGTTTCTGGTATACAACATAGTGATTAGACATTTACGTAACTTATGAAGTGACCACCCTGATAAATTTAGTATCTGTCTGAAACTGTACATGATTATTACAATACTACTGACTATATTCCCAATGCTGTATTTGAATATGCTAATGACGGGACTATCTGTACTTCTTAATCTCTTCTCCTTTCTCACCCATCCTTCAAGCCCCTTCACAGATGGCAACCATCAGCTCATTTTCTGTATCTATGAGTCTGTTTTACTTTATTTTGTTTTTTAGATTCCACATATAAGCAAAATCAGAGGGTATTACCTTTCTCTGTCAGGTTTATTTCACTTAGCCCCTCTAGGTCCATCCAAATTGTTGCAAATGGTAAGATTTCATTCTTTTTTATGGCTGAGTAATACTTCATTGCATATACATACCACCTCTTCTTTATCCATGCATCTATTGATGGACACTTACGTTGCTTCCATATCTTCGCTATTATAAATAATGCTGCAATGAACATAGGGGTGAATATATCTTTCTGAATTAGGGTTTTGGATTTCTTTGGATAAATGCCTAGAAGTAGAATTGCTGGATCATATGTTAGTTCTAATTTTAATTTTTTGAGGAATCTCCTTACTGTTTTTCATAGTGGTTGCACCAATTTACAATGCCAACAGTGCATGATGGTTCCCTTTCTCCAGGTCCTCATCAACACTTGTTTGCTGATTTATTGGTATCATTCTGACAGGTGTGGGGTGATGTTATCTCATTGCATTTTCCTGATGGTTGGTGACGCTAAGCATCTTTTAATGGCCATCTGTATGCTCTCTTTAGAGAAATGTTTGTTTAGGAACTTGGCCCATTTTTAATTGAATTGTTTGTTTTTCGATGTTAAGCTGTATGAGTTCTGCACTGCAGATTTTTTTTTAATCTTCACCCGAGGACATTTTTTGATATTTTGTTCAGAAAGAGTTGGAGGGCGAGAGAGAGAAACATTGACGTGAAAGGGACACATCAAATATTTACCACCCGCACGACCCACCCAGGGCCGGGGACAAACTGCAACTGAGCTACGTGCCCTTAGTGGGAACTGAACCCGGGTCTCTCTGGACTGCAGGCCAACTCTCTAACCACTGAACCAAACTGGCCAGGACTGCACTGCAGATTTGATCGGTTACAATCATCTACCCCAACACTACCATGTGTACTTGCTTCTCTGTCATTTTATCTTGCACATCCATCCATCCATCCACAAAATGTGGTTAGGTGAAAATAGGCTTGAAGGCCAGGGTAAGTTTAGCTTTGATTCCTTGGGTGATAGGGAACCAATGCAGGCTCTTTAGTAGGAAAATGATGGCTGATTTCCATTGAACTGAGTTAATTGTGCTGGTTTCAGCTATATAATATGTGCATACAGATCATATAGCTGCCTTAGGCTCTCTTGTCAATCTGCTTCCACAAGTCCCTGTGTTAGGGATCAATTTGCATTCTCCAGACTGAAATCTCTGTCAGAATAGAACACCTGTTCCTAATATCAGGTCCAACTACAGTCATGCTCTGCAGACTTCTGGTGTTTTTACACCACAGTCAGCCACCAATTCCCCATGTGTGAGGATTTAAAAAAGACTGGTTTATATTTTTGTACATTTATTCAGGGCCTCTTATATGCCAAGCACTGTCCTAGATGCTTTAAAGAAGGACTATGATAGATTTATCAGAATATATTAAAAATTTATTTAATAGTTTTATAATAGATTTTTAGATATGACACCAAAATCACAGGCAACAAAAGAATAAATAGATCTATTGGACTTCATCAAAATTAAAAACGTTGTATATCAAAGAACATTATCAAGAAAGTGAAAACACAACCTACTGAATGGGAGAAAATATTTGCAAATCACATATCTGAAAAAAAATATGTAAAGAATATATATTTTGCCCTGGCTGGTCTGGCTTAGCGGTTGGAGCGTTGGCCTGAAGACTAATGAGTCACAGGTTCAATTGTGGTCACGGTACATACCTCAGTTGCAGTTCGTCCGGCCTTGGTTGGGTTGTGCGGGAGGCAACCAGTCGATGTGTCCCTCTTACATTGATGTTTCTCTCTCTCTGTCCCTCCCACTCTATCTGATGATAAACTAAAAAATATCCTTGGGGGAGAATTAAAATAAAAAGAATATATATTTATCCAAAAAAGATATACACATGGCCAATAAACACATGAAAAGATGCTTAGCATCATTCATCATTAGAAAAATACAAATCAAAACCACAATGAGAGATACCACTTCCTATCTATTAGAATGGCTATAACCAAAAAAGTGGGAAATAACAAGTGTGAGAGGGACAAGCTGGCACGATGTGGAGAAATCTGAACCCCTGTGCACTGTTGGTGGGAATGTGAAATGGTGTAGGCACTGTGGAAAACAGTTCAGGGCTTCCTCAAAAAGCTGAACATAAAATTACCACATGGCCCAGCAATTCTATTCCTAGATATATAGGGTGGGGCAAAATAAGTTTATAGTTGTGACCATGGGAAACATAGTTTACACATATTATTATGTATTAATTATTGCATTATGTTCCATATCAACAACTGTGAACCTACTTTGCCCCACCCTGTATATCCAAAGGAACTGAAGCAGGTACTCTGACAGATACTTGTATATCAGTCTTCATTGCTGCATCATTCACAACAGCCAGAAGGCCCAACAGTAGAGGAATGGATAAACAAAAGGAAGTATACATGTACAATGGAGCATTATTCAGCCATAAAAATGAAGTTCTGATGGATTTCACACCATGCATGAACCTCGAAAACATAAAGCCAAATAAAATAAGCAAACACAAAAGAACAAACATGGCATGATTCCACTAATACAAGGTACTTAGAATGGGAACTTTGGTCAATGATTGAGAAAGCTGGTATCATACTAAATGAAAAAGTGCTGTAATTTCAAATGTATTTTATATGTAAATAAAATAATTTACTGTCCTATCTCTTCCAATGTAATATGGTTAAGTTATCAATTCCATAGCGACAATAAAAATACAACTAAAAGGCCCTGGCCGGTTTGGCTCAGCGGTTGGAGCGTCGGCCTGCGGTACAGAGAGACCCGGGTTCGGTTCCCGCTAAGGGCATGTACCTCGGTTGCAGTTTGTCCCCGGCCTTGGTTGGTCGTGCGGGTGGCAGCCACTCGATGTGTCCCCTCACATCGATGTTTCTCTCTCTCTCTCTTCCTCTCTCTCCCTCTCTCTCCCTCCCGCTCTATCTGAACAAAAAATGGGAAAATGTCCTCGGGTGAGGATAAAAAATAATAATAATAATAATAATAATAAAATACAACTAAAAGTCAGATCAGAGATGGAGAAGTTTCTCATTTTTCATAAAAGAACACTATCTCCCTTGTGAATGAATGAACTTCCATATGATTGTGTACTTACCCTATTTGGGAAAAAGGGTCTATCTATTTTTTCTTTCTTTTCCTTTTTACTCTAAAGAATATCAAACTGGACTCGAGTTCATTAAAGAGCACTTGGAGTGTGTTATGTTTTTTTTTAATCCTCAACTGAGGACATTTTTCCATTTTCTGTTCAGATAGAGCGGGAGGGAGAGAGAGAGAGAGAAACATCGATGTGAAGGGACACATCGAGTGGCTGCCACCCGTACGACCAACCAGGGTCGGGGACAAACTGCAACCGAGGTACGTGCCCTTAGCGGGAACCGAACCCGGGTCTCTCTGTACTGCAGGCCGACGCTCCAACCGCTGAGCCAAACCGGCCAGGGCTGGAGTGTGTAATGTTTTTAAGTCTAATTATGTTATTTGAATAAACATAAACTACAAAGAATCCATTATAGCCATCATAGCAGGAACAGAATTTCACAGTCTCGGGACAATTTTTCAGTTCAAGCCCACGTGGAAATGATCATTTCCCTTCCTACAGAGAAACGCGGAAGTGGGCAATGGATGCTACTGTAAACATAAAACACCTCTGCAGAGTGGGCCGAGAGTGGGTGCAGTCTTAGCTCATCTCACAAGGGCTCTGGGTCTCAAGTAATGACAGCGCATTTGCTTGGTGAATGACAAAGTGTATTCGAGCTGTGGCCAAGCTTCCTGTGTGTGTGAGGTATAAACGGGGGGGAGACGAACAGTGAACACCATCTTCAGATTTTAAGACATTCATAGTGGGCACATGTTGGAAGGAAAAGACTCATAGTGACGGGGAATCTGAGGAAAATATGACACAGGAGATATGTAAAGAGACCAGGAAGATGTTGGGGGGAGAGAAAAATGCTTTTATTGCAGAAAAACACAACCAGTGTGTGACGGGGCACTGGGCTGCACCTGCCCTCGCTCAGCCTGGACACAGCACTCTGTCGTGGAAAGACGCTGGCCTACAGGTGGGTGCTGTGTAGGGGAGGGGTCATTTGCCACCTACCGATCCTCACCAAATTCTGAGAAAGATTATGAGCCTCTGCTTCTAGAGATCTGAGGCATGCACGTGTGTTTTGGTGGAAGCCAGATGCTTCATGCCCATCTTATCTGAGCAGATGTTGTGTTGAAAGAAGTAGCCTGTTGCTAGGGGAGAGCAGGTTAACCACACACAAAGTCAGTTCCTTTCCTAGTTTTCTCAGGGAGACGGAGGAGTCCAGTGTCAGGCACTTAGGACTTGGGGGCAGGCTAGTGGCAGATTAAAAGGGAAAAAGGTGAAACCCTGTTCAGGCCAGGAAAGTATCTGTTTTTAAAGAAATAACGCACAAAGGAAAATGCACTTGGAGAGGGGATGGGAACACACTGCTAACAAAAACGGGACCATCTCTGGTCCCTGGTAACACCACAGGCGTTTCTACTCTCAGTTCACCAGCCTTCAGCCTTGCGGGTCTTTTACTTAGGAAGAGGGTGCGTAGTTGAATAAACGTGTCCAACGCATCCTCGCCAGTCCGTGCAGGTTTGGAGCTCTGTGACAGCCATAGCTCGTCCTCTACCTACCATTCTATCTAGACAGGGGTTTGGCAAACTCTCTCTGTCAAGGGCCAGAGTAAACATTTCAGGCATCGGATCTGTCAGGACTACTACATTCTGCTGCTGCAGCAGGAAAGCGGTCACAGACAGAATGGGCGCGGCTGTTTCAGCAGAGCTGTGTGGGGCTGCGGCTGGGACTCTCACTTATTTTAGAGTGTGGGCCCTGGCCAGGTGGCTCCGTTAGTCGGTTGAAGTGTCGTCCAAATACTCCAAGATTGCAGGTTCAATTCCCTGTCAGGGCACATGTAAGAATCTACCAAGGCATGCATGAATGGGTGGAACAACATATCGATGGATGTATTTTGTTATCAATTGATCAGGTATTTCTCAGTATGGATTGGATGTCATGTCCAGTTGTTCAGGATTTTACAGACTAGTTAGGGAGGCAAGATGTGTTAATAAGGAGGAAGTAAACAATGCAAAGCCATATGAATACTGCAGTGAGTGCTACTGATTCTAAATGCTAGAGGAAGAGGTTAGAGGATGGACACCTTTCCTAAGGATGATGGCACTTCGTCAGCCCAAGAGGCTTCCCCAAAATAAATATTTTGTGAATATTCACTATGCTAAAATAGCACACATATGTTATTTATCAGAGTCTACAAAATGATCAAATGAGTTTGGTCCTAAGGCCCAGAGAAATTAAGTGACTTGATCGTGGTTCTATAAAAAGGAAGTATGGATCAGAACCTGAGTAGCTAACTTCAGAGCATGGGCTCATGACCACAAAACAGTGTTCTCTTTCCAGGGAGAGGCACAAACAGACTGTCACCAAATGAAAAGCAGATACAGAGGGAATTACAATGGTTGCTACACACTGATTAACATTGCTGGATTGTTCTCTCCTCTGATACACTTATTTCAAAACACGCAAGAAATTGTTTTCTTTTGCTCTAACTTTCAGCATTGTTAGAGAATAAAATGTTTGATGTCATTAAAAGACGGAGCAAACAAAAATGTGTCCTTCTTTGGTCACAGCACACTTCTGAGGGCAAAGGCAGGGTACACTACGATGTCAGCTCCTGCAGTGATCCTGGGAGGGAAAACATCTCCCCAGCCACTGGGCTGGCTGAGCAGTGCCGACTTACCATCATATTCCGGGAAGTAGTCAACTAGGTGGGAATACATAATTTTCTCCTCTAGAAGATCTTTCTTGTTTAAGAACAGAATAACTGAGGAGTTCTGGAACCAGGGATATGTGATAATTGTTCTAAAGAGTGCTTTGCTTTCCTCCATTCGGTTCTGAAAAAAATCATCAGGAAAACACGGCATGAATTACTTGATTACTCAATCTGTGAACTGTGTGTATTTCCAAAGTCCAATCCATCTTCTGTATACATCTGGTTTTTGTAGCCTTGGGTTAAGCCATAGTAACTTTTATCAGGATTTACATGCAAATGGTTCAGGATACATATGGGCTGTTTTCATTATGCAAACTCGTAGGTTGAGAAGCAGAAGAGAATAATAATAAATCTGCTGAGATAACACCTTCAACCTTGAGAGGAAACAACCAAAGCCACAGAATCATGTTGCATCTGGCACACTGCCATACTTTCACCAAAAGTTATTTGTTCATGACCAAATAGTTAAGATCTGATTTCAGAGCTAAATACTAGGCTTCATTTTCACATTTCCTAAATTGTGTTTAATTTGGGGCATCGGAATTAACTCTATTTTTAAACAGTGAAAAATAAAGTTAATTCTTTGTCCAAAGTGCATCTATGTTTATAGAATTATTGCTATTTTATATATATATCTCCCCTGATAAGAAAACACATGGAAAAATATTTCCCTGTAATTTTCATATAGGATTGCAGAGATTATGTGGAAACTAGAGATACAAATGTGGTATTTCTAACCCCCCAGCTACTATCAAACCAAACTTGGTAACACAGAACTTCAATGGATTCTCAAGGAATCAGTCAGCTTGCTCTATATTGAAGACGCTAATCAAGACTACTCCCCAGTCAAATCACTCCTCTTAAAAAATGTACCTATCAGCCAAAAGTTGGAGAGCTTCATCTACATCTCCTTACCAGATGTTCCCCTCAAAGTCACACTCACCTCTAGCGGTGACCAGTCTCAACGTTCATTATAATTGCCATCAGGTGGCCCCAAGCCTGGCTTAAGCAGCGGCCAATCTTGGCCTAGAACACAGCTTCAACTATGTGGCCAAAAACCCAGTGGCACCTGGCCTCAGCTAACATCATGGTTCCCCCAAAGGATTCCAAGCCCAGCACAAGTGCCAGCCAGTCTCAGTTCGCAGCTTAGCTTCTCCCAAGCGACTCCAAGCATAAGACAAGTGGCAATCAACCACAGATCACTTGGTATCTCCTACCAAGAGGCCCCAAGCCTGGAATAGCAGTGGCTGACCTTGCCCTGCACTGGAGGCCCTCTCAAGAGTCTCCAGAACCAACATACCCAGTGGCTAACTCTACACCACACCACCCAACCAGCTACACACACACACACACACACACACACACACACACACACACACACACACCCCGAAAGGCAGGCTGAGCTGGCACCAGAGCATCACAAAAGCAACTCCTGCTCTGTGGAGTCTGCCCTTCCATAACAGCCCATCCAGTGTAGTCTTGGCCAGTCATCCCAGCCAATCATTCTGAAGATCTAACCCATCCATGGATGTGCCAACACCAATTGGGCATCAAATAAAACAGGAGGGCACACACAATCCACACAGGGGACACCCTTGGAGTACCTAGCTCAGGTGACCTAGGAGACTGAGCCAGAGGGCCCTAGAGAACACCATCTCCATAAGGCCGCTCTGTTAAGATGAGGAGATACAGTATATTTACTTAAAATAAAAACAGATAGGGAGTCAACCAAAATGAGGAGGCAAAGGAGCATGACCCAAGTGAAAAAACAGAACTAAACTCCAGAAAAAGAACTAAATGAAACAAAGACAAGCAATCTACTTTATACAGAGTTTAAAACACTGGTTATAAGAATGCTCAATGAACTCAGAGGAAGAACAGATGAACTCAGTAAGAACTTTAACAAGGGTAAAAAACATAAAATAGAAAACATGCAAATAATCAGTAAGAAATGAAGAATACAATAAATGAAATGAAGAATACACTAGAGACAATCAATAGCAGATAAGATGAAGCAGAGGAATGAATCAGCAATCTGGAAGACAAGGTAGTGGAAAACACCCAAATGGAACATAAAAAAGAAAAAATAATTTTTAAAAATGAGGGCAGCTTAAGGGACCTCTGGGGCAAGTGTACCAACATTTGCATCACAGACAGAACAAGGGATTGAAAACCTATTTGAAGAAATAATGACTGAAAATTTTCCTAACCTGGCAAAGTAAGTAGATATACAAGTCCAGAAAGCACTGATAATCCTAAACAAGATGAACCCAAAGAGGCCCACAACAAGACAAATTATAATTAAAATGCCAAAGATTAAAGAAAAGAAAATCTCTTAAAAGCATCAAGAAAAAAGCAGTTAGTTGTGTACAAGGAAGCTCACATAAGGCTGTCAGCTGACTTCTCAACAGAAACTCTGCAGGCCAGAAGGGAATGACACAAAATGTTCAAAGTAATTAAAAGCAAAGACCTACAACCAAGATTACTCTAGCTAGCAAGGCTATCAGTTAGAATTCAAGGAGAGACAAAGAACTTCCCAGACAAGAAAAAGCTAAAGTAGTTTATCACTACCAAACCAGTAGAACAAGAATTGTGAAAGGCACTTCTCTTATAAGAAAAGAAAGATGAAAATATGAGTAAGAAAATATAACAAAGAAGAAATTCTCACCAACAAAAACAAACAGTAAAAGCAGTGGATCAACCAAATACAAAACACATCATAATTAAAATTCAAAGACAAAGAGAGAGAATTTTAAAATCAAGAACAAAGCAGTTAGTTACATACATGGGAGCTCTCATATAACTGAAACACTTGTGCACTACTGGTGAAATTGTGAACTGGTGCAGGCACTGTTGGAAAAACTACACAGGTTCTTCAAAAAGTTAATTCTACTTCTGGATATTTAACCAAAGAAATCCAAAACACTAATTCAAAAAGATATTCAACCCTATGTTCAGTGCAGCATTATTTACAATAGCCAAGATATGGTAGCAACCTAAGTGTCCATCAATAGACAAATGGATAAAGAAGAGGTGGTACATATATACAATGGAATATTACTCAGCTATAAAAAGAGTGAAATCTTGCCATTTGTGACAACATGGATGGACCTAGAGGGTATTATGCTAAGTGAAAGAAGTAGGACAGAGAAAGAAAAATACCATAGGATTTTGCTATGTGAAGTGTAAAAAACAAAACAGAAATAAACTCATAGATACAGAGAATACACTGATGGTTGCCAGATGGGAGGGGGATTGGGAGGATGGGTGCAAAAAGGTGAAAGGGAGTCAGAAGTACAAATGGCCAGTTAAAAAAATAGTCATTGTGATGTAAAGTACAGCATAAGGAATAGTCAATAATATTGTTAATAACTATGCACGATATCAGATGTGTACTAGACTTACTGGGATGATCACTTTGTAAGGTATATAAATGTCTAATCACTATGTTGTACACTTGAAACTAAGATAATATTGTATGCCAACTATAACTGAAAAATAAATGAAAATAAAAAGTAAATGAACAAAAATATCCCATGCCTAAATTTGGTTAAGCCCCTAGATTTTTTTAGTAACATCAGCCAATAAGTACCTTTTCGTTTTTAATCTACTTTCAGCTGTATTTTTTTTATTTCTTATTATATCAAATACTTCTAGTTGGTATACTTGGATACATCTCCCTTCCAAATAAGCTCTCAAGTGCGGCTGACGCTGCTGACTCACAGAGCACACTTCGGGGGCAGGTGCGGAAGGCTTGCTGAGCCGGGACAAGGTGGAAGGCACTGCTCTTTCCCACAGCGGTGACAAGGCGTGCGCGCCGCCGCGTCCAGCCGAGGGTCTGAGTCCCTGCTACGAAAATCTAACCTTGCCAGCTTCATTCTTTTTTATTTTCCCCAATTAAGGTGAGCTAAGAGTCTGACATTATGCTGTATGAGTTGCTTTTACACTCTGCAGTGAAAATTCCTTATGCTTCCCCACTCCCAACTGAGAATATTTACGAAGCGACATGCTCCCTATCAAAGCCCGTGGGCTGCATCCTAAATGGACTAAATGAGATTTTCACATTTCACAGAGCAGCCAGCATGCAGATCACAAGGCACAATCCACCCTGCTCAGTGGGAACTGCCGTCTGGGAGGGAACAGCGGGTCCCAGGGGACTTCATGGCACTTGCTGTTCAGTCACTTTCCAGTGCATGGGTTTCGAGGAGGAAAACAAAACAGCAATGTAGGAGGCACATGTATGGCTGACGATAAAGGTTCTATTACCCTAAACACAGGGCTCCCTGCTAACTGAGTGGGCCTGGCCTATGTCTGAGGCCCAAAGAGGCTTCTGAGTTCTTGTAACACCCCCCTCCCTCAGCTACCAGATGTCTTGGACTGAAAGCAAATGTCTCCCAATGAAGGGTGTCCTTGGCATGGGCGAGAAGGCTGCCAAAGAGGGGGCAGGGACTGGTGGGTATGCCAGAAGTGTGTCCTGCCGGCTCTGTGCCCCTACAGACAGATGGACATGGGAAGAGCAAAGGGGCCCCAGAACCTGAGGATAGGCTGCGAGCAAGTGAGCACAGTGGCGGGGCGGTCTCCAGGCAGTCACCTGGAGCAAACTTGGCCCCAGAAATGTCAGTCTTGCCCAGACCACACTTGCTGTGGACTAAATGTGAGTCTCTCCAAAACTCACACATTGAAGTCCTGACCCCACCGTGATGGTATTACGATGCAGAGTCATCAGGAGGTGCCTGGGATTAGTGCCCTTACAGAAATGATCTCAGAGGGCTCCGTCCCCCCTTCTGCCATGTGAGGACAGAGCAAGAAGACAAACTACCACCTATGAACCGGGAAGCCGGCCTTCCCCAGACACCAACACTGCCTGTACCTTGATCTTGGACTTAGCTTCCAGAACTGTGAGAAATGAATGTTGTTTATGATCCACCCAGTCTACAGTATTTTAATACAGCAACCCAAATGGACTAAGACAATGCTGATCAGGCAGCCCTCCTCCCATGGCTGGAACCAGTGGAGGGTCAGGCACTAAACTGGAGGCATTCACCATGATCCCTGGCCCATGGAGGACAGGCTACCTATTCCCCATTTTGTAACCACAATGGACCATCTAGTGTCTTCCAC